GTGTAGGTTTTGATGTCAAGGAGGCAGAACCTGTGGACATAATGGGTGGAGCTTCGAGCAAGTGAAAAAATCTTATTTTGCTTGTTTAGGGATCTGCTGCTGTTGGAGGAGAAGCAGGAGGAGGAGTAGCAGACTAAGTTTCCTTGCTGTTTGGCATGTAGTTTTGTTTAAAGGGCCGATCTAGAATAAGTACATTGTTGGCTCAGAGGAAACTTATGTCTGAGAGTTGGGGAAGCATGGCTGGTGTTAAACAAGGAACGAAACTTCAGCCTGATTTTGATGTCTGCCTTGCTTATGCTGTGGGCTAAGTTACTCTGTTAATTTACGTCTTATATATTTCCCCCCTCATTTTCCTCTAACTATAACAAGTCTATTTTGCCTTTTCTGATGGATTTTACAAAGAGAGATTTTTGCTCAGTGTTTGTCATCGTAAATTCTCATTGCTGCTGCTGTCCTCAAAAGGATTGTGTAAATGAGGTGGGTAAGAATTTCCAGTGTATACAAAAGGTATGTTGTAGCCATTTGATGATATGTGTGGAAAGTTTCAGTTAAAGTATTGAGAGTGTTTAGTTCAGAATGCTTTTTTAAAATAAGTTAGTTTTGTAGTTTAGTTAACTTACACAACATTTTGTATGAGGAGGAAGGAGACTTTTCTCAATTCTGAATGGTTAGGAAAAGTTTTGCTCTTATGAAAAGGAAAATGTTACCTTAACACATTTGAAACGTAAGTTTTTAAGAAGCAAGTGCTGACACTCTTTAAGAGCTAGAAGATTGAACCAGAGAATACTATATTATGACTCACTTATATTTTTATTATGACTCACTTTTATTATTCCAGCAGATAAGTTGCAAACTATAAGTATATAGAATTGACAGAAAAACTTAGTCTGTAAGATGCATGTATGTGTTTGGGATTTTTCTTAGTTTAAATAAAGCAACATATTTTATAAACATTTTTATCAACTCTTTTTTTAAAAAAATATCAACTCTCGGTGTGCCCTTGGAGAGTCCGATTGTTGTTATTGTTTTCTTTTTGTACTCCATTTAAGCCTGCACAAGAGTCACCTTTGTTTTTTTAAGAGAATATGTAACTTTATATAATCGCAAAAGTGTCTTAAATGAATGTACGTTAGCTGTTCAAGAAGTACTTTTGTTTAATGCAGAGAAACATGTTACTGTCCCATGTCAAAAAACATAATATGGCACTGCTGCCTAGAGAGAGATCCTGTGAATTACAACAGTAAGGAAGAATATTTCTAGAGCTGGCAGGTTGCTAGCTCTGGAAGGATGGAGTGACAGGGTGCGTGTCTTTAACTAACTTAATTTTTCTTATATGTAAAACATTAGCCCAATTTATCTGCCTTAGCACTTTTCTGTTTTGTATTTTTGAACCTCATTCAGAATAGGTGAGCAAAACTTGGCTTCTGCTGGTCAGAACAGGACTCTCTGGGGCTAAATCAGACAGTATAGAAAAGAGGTGACATTTGAAGGATTTTCAGACTCTAAGTTGATTATCTTTGTTGAAATACATAAATTAAAAGGAAAAAAGATGAAATATTATCATTAAAACATTTTCTCATCATTATTTTGTTCTGTCTGGTGCTTAAATCGTGTTTTAGAATAATCTTAAACCAACTTTTTAATTTTAAAAAATCATCAATTATAAAAAATAGAGTTCTCTTATCTCTCTTAATTTTTGAATTTTATTTTATTTTTTTATACAGCAGGTTCTTATTAATTATCCATTTTATACATATTAGAGTTCTCTTATCTCTTAAGAACAAGAAGCCTCTAAGTATGATGAGTGCTGTGTATTGAAACCTGTGCTTGTTTATTTTAAGCAGCTTTCCATCATGTGTCCCAGATGCATTTTCTGTAGGTCACTTTCAGGGTCATTGACATTTCATGCTCATTGTTACTTTTTTTTTTTTTTTTTTTTTTTTTTTTTGTCATTTTTAGGATATAATCCCTAGATATTCTTGCTTCTTTGCAAATGATTCAGAATACTTCTGTTAGATATTTTGATAATTCTGGTTTCTTGATGGTTGCTGAGATTTCTTCTTGTCTTTTTCATTATCTCAGTGGGTAATGTTTTAATACCAGCTGCTGGACTGTCTCCGTTTTATTGGCTGTCTTGGCACCTGCAACATTTTTTAAGGCAGCAGTGGCATCTGAATATGTTGTGTAGCATTGGTATGGAATTTTCTGTACCTAAATCTTGGCTATACGTTGAGAAAGCAGCTTAACCTAGCAGAGTCAACATGTTATATGATGCGTAGTTGCTGGTTTTGTCATTATGACCTTATATCTCATTTGTTCAACTAGCATTTCTACTTGCAAATAGGAATTCCTGTTTGTAAAGTCATGAATGTATGTATGTCTGCATAGGTAGGATTAACAAGAGGGTTATTTTTAAGGATAACCAAGGATGAAAGCAGGTTCACTGTGGATCTTGGTGATTATTTTTCGAAGAGAACCCTTTGCTTCCTTTTAACTGTAAACTTTATTATCTTTGGTGATGGCCTTTGAAGTCAGAGGTGTGCCTTAGGTCAGCAAACTTAATGATTCAAAGAGATGTCAACCTAGATAATCACGTATGATTCTAGTTCCCATTAATATAGTTGGACAGGTATTATCCCCATTTGCTAGAGAGGGACTCTGAAGCTCAGAGCTGCTTCTGCTTGTCCAGTTCACAGTGATTTCAAGTCTTCTGTTACATCCTTTGATCTTTCCAATATGCCTATGCTAAATTGAAACAGAAGAGTCTTTTAATATAGTCAGTATAGGTGTGATTTATTAACTCAGTATGTAGAGTTTTATTGCCAGAAGGCTAAAACTACATTCCTCTAAAGTGTATGTGTTTATGGAAGTAGGAACGTTTTCTCTAGCCATAGTCTGTATCCTCTTTTAATTACTTCCCTGTAACATATGGAATGTCTTTACATGCAAAGGCCAACTGTGTATTAATGTCCAATTTTAGCAAAGAACAGTCCTTCAGATAATTTCCTGCCAATAGTGAATGTTCTAAGAACTTAATGTATGGTATTCTAGATTGTTTTTCCCATTATACTTATAAGTAGCATCTTAAAAGTTTGCTTTTATACACTTTTACATGTTTATTGTAGAAAAACAAAATCCCCAGTGTTTCTACTACCAGAGAACTTTTAGTGAGTATCATCCTTTTTTTCCTTAAAACAGTTCCTGTTTTCTTTAGCTTTAATTTGAAATACCATACCAGCTTGCTCAGTTAAAGCATTCTTTTGCTTCAGCAGCATTATTTTTTGTTTTCATTAGAATGATTATGTGAAGACAAAGACTAGTTGGAAAACTTAGCTGGCCTTGAAAAATAAAAAGATAGAGGAAAATACAAATACTTACCTTTGTAGTCATTACTTAGAAACAAACATTTTAAATACATGGATTTTTAACTTTAGGGACAGCCTAATTAGACAGTTTCGTGTCGTGGAAAGTTAGCCCTAGAGGGAGACTCCTCCAAATCAGGACTTTTTAAAACAAAATTGATTGATTAATTGATTATTTATTTTTGGCTGTGTTGGGTCTTTGTTGCTGTGTGCAGGCTTTCTCTAGTTGTGGTGAGCGGGGGCTACTCTTTGTTGCAGTGCGTGGGCTTCTCATTGTGGTGGCTTCTCTTGTTGCAGAGCACGGGCTGTAGGCGTGCAGGCTCTGTAGTTGTGGCTCGCGGGCTCTAGAGCGCAGGCTCAGTAGTTGTGGTACATGGGCTTAGTTGCTCCGCAGCATGTGGGATCTTCCCGGACCAGGGCTCGAACCCGTGTCCCCTGCATTGGCAGGCGGATTCTTAACCACTGCGCCACCAGGGAAGTCCCTTCCGCTTTTTAAATTAATTAATTAATTTATTTATTTATCTTTAGGACTTTTGAATAATGTAGTGAGTAATTGATGAGAATTATCTCACCACAACTCTAGTATTTAAAGACTTTAGAGCTAACCATTTGATATATTTCATTTCAATCTGTGAGAGATTACACACATTTCTATGATTTATCAAATTATATCACTAATTCTAATATATATCATCACTGAGACAGTAGCTGGTTATAATTTATAGTATATTCTAACTTTTCTAGTCCTGTCTCCCGTTTCCTACTCCCTGTGTGTTATGTGGTTATAGACTTACAGTGCCACTTGCGCAGTATCTCGGTGTTGCTACTTCAAATCAATCCATGTGGTTACTTAGATGAGGCAAGAATAGATAATGAGATGTTTTTCTCCATACCACCTCTCAGACAGGAGTAGTTTGTTATTCGTCTTTCTTATATATATTTTCCACACACCACTGAAATTTTATTTGCAAAAAAATTTACACTTTGTGAAGATTCTGAAATACTACTGTGATACTGTTTAGTATTGAATTTTCTTCAGAGATTAATTGGAGAGCTTGTCTTTCATATGGGTCTGGTGTATCACTTGTGATTTTATGTTTCATATGTACAAGACAGTTTGCTCTTCAGTTATCCAGTTATCCAGTTATGCCAAACCAACCCAAAGTCTTAACTTCTGGTTGAGGTTGTTAAGGTATACCACTATAATAATAGAATACTTGCCAAACTGAGCATGCGAATTCATGCCCATAAATGTTATGTTGATTAATGTGTTAGGGAACGAGGTTGAACAGAAGATCTTCTAACCAATTAGAACATTTGGCCTTCTTTTTAGCCAGTAACTTCCATTACCTGAAACACAGCAAAAGATGTTAACAACAGCCTAAATTTTTCGCTAGCCGTATGAAGCCATGGAAGTGAGTGACTCCACTACCTTAACTATTCCCTGTTGTTATCTCGTAGGGGCTAAATTGCCACTTCCGAGCTCTGATCCTGCATGGACTAGATCCTGCAGGCAAATCAGAAAAAAGCCAGGATGGTAAGAAGGAATCTAGTAGAACCTTAAGAGGCAAGTAAAAATAAAGTTCAAAGCCTCTGTCTTCGTTAACCTGTTTCTGTTGCTATTTTTATGATTTTCAGGGGGTGAAGCCAGCCAGTTTTGACAAAGTAGCAATTCCTGAAGTGAAGGAAATTATTGAAGGATGCATACGGCAAAACAAAGATGAAAGGTAAGTTGCCTCTTTTGATCTGGGTATTGCTTAAACAAAAACTTCAAGTGTAATAGGCTCTCGATAGAACACTCAGTCTAAGGTGTATTTAATACTTTACTTGTGATTAGTTTCTCTGTTTATGTCTTGTAATATCTTTTTTTTTTTTTTGCGGTATGCGGGCCTGTCTCTGTCGTGGCCTCTCCCGTTGCGGAGCACGGGCTCCAGACGCGCAGGCTCAGCGGCCATGGCTCACGGGCCCAGCCGCTCCGCGGCACGTGGGATCTTCCCGGACCGGGGCACGAACCCGTGTCCACTGCATCGGCAGGCAGACTCTCAACCACTGCGCCACCAGGGAAGCCCTGTCTTGTAATATCTTTAAAAGTAGAGTTCTGTCCATTGAAGGTAGTATTCACATTTGGTATACTGAAATGTTGTAAGAATGTGGTTTGATAGAGTTTAATTAAACCAAAACCACCTTAAACATAGCTGCTGCATTCAGTAAGAACTACTTACAGCATCAACATGATTTGTAAAACTCAGTAGGGTTCTGTCCTTAACGCAGCAGATCTGTTCCTTAGTCCTCTACCCATTGAATTCTAAAAGATGAAATAAAATATTGGCTCTTTAAAATCAACTCAGCTGTGCAAGTCTTGATTTGCTGTTACTATGCCAGAACTGAAGAAGAGCAAAATGTCAAAATTCCTTTGAGTTAAAGGAGACGACTTCACCCAGAGCTTGGGAGGAGATCTGGCTTAGTCATTTATGCTTGCAGAGGACTCTTCTCAGAGGAGGGGCAAGTATCTGATCTGCCATATAGCTGATTCATCACCCGTTAGGCATGGCAAAGGTCCAGTGTCTGTTTTTGCAAAATAGTCTACTTTCACCATCCCCCCTCACCCTCCAAAGAAGAAAAAGTAGACCAGGTAGTGCAGATAGACATTGTAAATTGAGCATAACCTACCTCCTGAAGAATGCGAGTGATCAGGTACATCAACCAAATTAAAGAATTCCATATCTTCACTTCTCCAGTCTCATATTCTTTCCACAACTATGTTATTTGGAAGAACTTAACATCATGATCTTTAAGGCTTTTTAGTAGAAATTTAGTTGGGTTTCTATTTTCATATACACTGATTAAAAAGGAGAGTCTTTAATCTCTTTAAGAACTTTTTTTAAAAACTATAAATAAAGGAATATTTGTCTCCAGTCTTAGACTCTTGTGTTACTCTTGTTTCTTTACTGGATGGAACAGTTTACTAGATTACTGGTATTTTGAGACCATTTATCTAGAGAAAATTGTTCCACAGTCAGACTTCTGCTTGCCTACTACACAAGGTGTTGAACAAAGAATTGAGAGGATATATTGGAGTAAATAAAGGTTGCTGTAGTAGAAGGTAATGTACTAGAAATAAAAAGGTTTTCGAGTTTTGATTCCACCATTTATGACTTTTATAACTGTGAGCAAGATTGTCAGTCTCTCTGAGGATCCATTTTCTAATAATCAGGAAATGATATTTCATTGGGTGTTGGTCAAGGATCAGATGAGATCATGCATACGAGATTTTTTGTTAACTATAAGCACTATGTAAATGATTATGTGATATTTTGAAGCTATGGTATTCTATGTATTACTCGCTATTATTAGTACACCATTAACTAAGATGAGATTAGATCATAAGATTTTAAAAGTATCACTTTGAGCTCTTATTCATAAATGAGATTGTTCTGATGCTCTGTAGCTTGAATAAAACTATAATCACTGTTCAAATGGAGCAATGTAGAATGAGTTACAGCATTTCCCTTGTTCTTCTTTTTGCAGAGTCTGTTTCCATTATTCCAATAACAGTCATCAGCCATACTTGAAAAGTATCTTTTAAATCTAATGGCATTTTGTTTTTTGTTTCTTTCCCCTCTCTTTTTAAGATACTCTATCAAAGACCTTTTGAACCATGCCTTCTTCCAGGAGGAAACAGGGGTACGGGTAGAATTAGCAGAAGAAGATGATGGCGAAAAGATAGCCATTAAATTATGGCTACGTATTGAAGATATTAAGAAATTAAAGGGGAAATACAAAGACAATGAAGCTATTGAGTTTTCCTTTGACTTGGAGAGAGATGTGCCAGAAGAGGTTGCTCAAGAAATGGTAAATTAACACTAACCAGCCATTTAAAAATTGATGTAGACTTATATACATTGATGCTGTTGAGCAGAAAAGCAGTTTATGAAGCAGTGTGTATGGCATATTCCACTGATATAAAATTGTGTTGATTAATGGCCCTAAAAGCTATTTTTATTTTAAGAGACATGTACAGACATAGATACATGTATTTTAGGAGATGTTTATAGACATAGATACGTATAAGGATGGATGGACGGACAGACAGGCAGGCGGGCAGACAGACATACAGAAAGAGAGAGAGAACAAACCAGAAAGCATTCTGAAGTAATTTTGAAAGTCTGTAAGGTTGACTGACTCCTAATTAGTATAACTAGAATGACAAGGTATGTTTTCTAAATACTGATACAGTAGCCTTTGATCAGTCATCTGGATAAACCCTATAAATAGATCTCACACATTGTTTTTACTTCAAAGGGAGTTTTCAAGATCAATTATTAGTAGGCAGCCCTTGGTGAATCATTTTTGAAGTATGTCTAAAAGATCACTGTTCAAAAAGGAAACTCCACCCATCTTAGGCTTGCCATGGTGCCTAAATAGCCATTTACTGTGCAAAGATACTCACAGACTGTCTCTGCTAGAATGTGTTAGAACCATTCAGTACTGCTTACCTCTGAGAAGGGGTCAGGTATGAAAGAGGTACTTATTTTTAATTGTCAGGTTTTTATACTGTTTGAGGTTTTTATTTTTAACCTTCATATATTTACCACAGTTGTCTTATCTGGTTAAGTGGTTGTCTAGTGAAAGGAAGTAAAAGCAACACAGGTCAATATTAATATTGATGGTTACATGTGAGCAGGAAATAGAGTGAATATAATAGAATGAGCCTTTTGGTTTAAAAACTTTGATGTTGGGACTTCCCTGGTGGTGCAGTGGTTAAGAATCTGCCCTCCAATGCAGGGGACTCGGGTTCGATCCCTGGTCAGGGAACTAGATCCCACATGCATGCCACAACTAAAGAGCACCCATGCTGCAACTAAGACCTGGTACAACCAAGATAAATTAAATAAATAAAAATTTAAAATAAAAATAAATAAATAAAAACTTTGGTGTCTAGGTTCCCCATTGTTTTGTTGTTATAGTTAGTGAAGGTTACATGTACCCCATAAGTTTCTACAAAGATAATAACACCCACCCCATGAGTATCTCAGAATATGGTGGCGAAGCGCGTAATGCCGACCAGTAATTTCACAGTTTGGTTAAGACCAGTCCTTAGAGAGTTCTTTCTTCCCCCTCTTCTCTACTTTTCTCCCCAAAAGTACCTTTTTTGTGTTTGGTTTGTTTTCTTTTGATATCCTGTTGCTTCCTAATGTACCCTTTTATCCTTCAGGTAGACTCTGGGTATGTCTGTGAAGGTGATCACAAGACCATGGCAAAAGCCATCAAAGATAGAGTGTCATTAATTAAGAGAAAGCGAGAACAGCGTCAGTTGGTGCGGGAGGAGCAAGAAAAAAGAAAGCAGGAAGAGAGCAGCCTCAAACAGCAGGGGGAGCAGCAGTCCACTGCTTCCCAGGCAGGAGCCCAGCAGCCCCCTTCGACGTGCACTGGCGGACCTGCGGCCTCTACCACTTCAGCTTCTGTTTCCACACAAGTAGAGCCGGAGGAGCCCGAGGCAGATCAGCACCAACAGCTGCAGCACCAGCCACCTGGTGTGTCTGTGTTGTGTGAGTCCTGGGGGAAGCGCGCAGGGTTGCTAAAGATACTCCTAGTTGACTTTTTATCTTCGCAGTCATCATTTCGCACTGACCTCTTGGTTTTGAAGTAGAAATCTAATGTGTAAATAAGAAGTTTGAAATGGTTGCCATCTACCTTTCTTACGTCCATAGCTAATAAGAGTATGGATGGGACAGTGAGGAAATAGGATTAGGATATAAAACAATTTTACAGGTTCCAACATCTTGAAAGTTCTAATTTGTAGATCTCTACTTTTTATAATTCCTTAAAATATAATTAGTACTGAAAAATAACAAGTTTATCTTAGCTGCTTATTTTTGAACCCACTAATCCGGTTCAGCTTTTTTAGCAAAGCTGAATAACGTATAAACTAGAAACTAATGAGACTGCTAATCAGTATTTTGAACTACCTTCTTAATACTAAGAACCCACTGGTCTCCACAGTTAAGACTTTGGAAGCTGTCAAACTTCAGGCTGACTAATAACATTCTGTTTTATTCCCCTTGTTCTTCAGGTGGGAAAATACTGCGATAGTCAGGGAATTTTTTTTTTTTTTTAAGACAGAACTTTTTTCTGTATGGATCCCTCATTTAAACATGGAAATCTACTTAGTAAAATTAGTATTTATTTTTTATTTAGTTCAGGTCTGTGCAAAGAAAAAACCAATTAACCCTAAAATCAGGGGTTTGTGAGGGGAAAATGTGAACCTTCTTTTCATGATTTGTCTCTTTGTCTTGTTTTTTGGCAATTTATTTCTCCTTCAGCTGACGGGACGGTTGACAGTGGTCAGGGATCTTCTGTCTTCACAGAGTCTCGAGTGAGCAGCCAACAGACAGTTTCATATGGTTCCCAGCATGAGCAGGCACATTCCACTGGCACCCTCCCAGGGCACACAGCATCTGTTGTCCAAGCACAGGCTCAGCCCCATGGGGTATATCCACCCTCAAGTATGGTGAGTAGCCGTGCAAGAGAGTGTAAGCCTATAATGTGTTCAGTTCAGACTCTTCTGCCAAATTAGTAACAGCGTGAGTCCAGAGTAAAAAATACAAATGGCGCATTACCAAAGGAGGCAGATTTATCATAGAGTATAATCGGAGTCATTCAGGCAGGGGAGGATACCTACATTAATGTGTGAAGACACTGTTTACAAGATTTAAACTGATCTGCGTTTGGTTAAAGATAATGCTCTCTTTCGCCCTTCAGTGTAGAAACTGTTCCACGCAGTGTAAGACGGGCACACAAGTGGTTTGGGGGTGGGGGCAAGGAGAGTTTTTCAGAAGTTACTTAAAAGAATTACTGAGTGTTTTCTGTAAGGTGTCTTAATGTATAAAACACAGGTAAGACTTTAGGCCATGATAGAATGCTGCATGTGAGTACTCTGTAGTGAAGGAATGACCATTTAATTTAGCGCTGTGTTCAATCATCAGTTGCTGTGTGTGTTCTTGCCTTAAAGTCTGTGTTGGACGCGAGTTCCTTCCCCAGTATATGTGTTCATTTGCTTTTTCCCTTTATTTTGGTATCTGTTTTATGACTGATTTATTTTCAGCATCAACTTATAGAAATTATATCCTGAAATATCTTATACATTTATATCTATGCATATATACACATACATACACACATACACACACATTATTACCCATGTTTTACATTAGCCACTCTTGCTTCTCATATAGAGAATGTTCAAATAGATCATTAGATAATACCCTATTTCTTATGTTGACCCTCCGTGAAGTCTTCAGAGGTGAATAAGATGCATTTTCTGCCTCAGGAAGGAACTGAGAATTACTGGTCACTGTAGGGCCCTTGTTTAGTGAGATCTTTAGGCAGATAGATTGTCCCTCTTTCTCAGAAAGCTTTTAATCTGAATTCGTGGAACTCTTGCTCTTCATTAAGTGAAACTCTATCTTTTTCTGGTAAGAAAATACTTCTGCTTGTTGTGGTCTCTTATCCTGCAGCTTGGAATAAAAGATGTTTGGCTAGGTCTCAAGATGGATGGCCACAGTAACAGAAAGAAAACTTCCAATGTACTAATGTTCTAACAACCTACTTCTCTAACCTTTAAAATAAGTAGATAGGGTAGAAGAGCTTTATACAGACTGTACAGGTGTATTTCTGTGATCTAACAAATACTATTGGTCAGCACTTCTTGTCACTTTCTACTCTTGTTGATTTCTTCTGGCTCATCATAACTATAGGTTTTTTTAAACTATTTTTAATCTCTTGGCTTCCCTCATCACAGGGTTTATGAACTTTGGGTCTCTGTTTTAGAAAAGGAAATGGACTGATCATTTATGAAGATGTTAAATATTTGCGCCACAAATATAGCTACATTTGATGCTCTAAAAGCAGACTTTAATGAAATATGACAGTCTTCTTGCCTTTTAATGACAATATTCTGTGGAAGTATTATGAAGAGTTATTAAATATTGAGGATTTTTCAAAACTTTTATAATTATTCCTTTCTAATTCCAGAAAGAATTTACTGTGGCTTGCAACAGTATGTATCAATTATAAGTGGAATTAAGAATAAAAGAGAAGCAAGAGTGGGAAAAAAAGAAAATATAATCAGTTACACAGTTCACAGTATCTAAAAGGAAATAACAAATTTGCTCAGGACAGCCTTGCAGCGTTAGATTTACTGCTTTGTAGCTATATTAAAACCTTTATGTTAAGGTGCTTCAGACTTTCTAATTTTGTAAACCAAAGTTGAACCTCTGATGTGGCTGAAAAAAATTTAATGTTACTCTTTAGAGATTCACATTTCAGATATTTTTCCATTGACTACTTTAATAAAAATACAGAATGTTTCCTGTATCTATTATGAATTATGTCTAGAAAGCTAATGCTCTTCCTAGTAGGAAATGACTTTTTAACTTATAGATAAAGATAGGCAAGTGTAATAAGTAAAATACTGTGAGCCAACAACTTTTTTGTCTAATGCCTTCTGAAATAGAGCTGAGAAATCCTTTATGTCTGAGGTTTCCAGAGCTCCTGCAAAGCGATCCAGGCTTAAAATCTTCTACATCTTATAATGTACGTGAAACTAATAGAATTCATTCTTGTTTAATCTTAATAAGTTTGCAGAAACTGCAAGCCACCATTCATCGTTTTCCCTGTCTGTTCTGCTGCCTCAGTCAGTCGGTCATTCTTACTCGCACACTCGTAACAATTAATGTTATTGCAGAATGTTTAGGAAGATACTTGGTTATTGTTGTGGTTGTTCATACGTGACCAACAGTGCAGAGAGAATAGTTACGATCTGCCAAGTGTGCTTTGCGGGATTCCGTCTCTCCTCAAACAATTGGCTTTGTGGAATTGAGGAGGATGGAACATTTCTTTACGTCAAGTATGCCCTGTTACCATTGTACCTTTGGTTATCCTGTTTTCAGAGTGCTGTGTTTTTCATGTGTGTGTGTTTTATGTTTAGCCTCGTCGTGGCCGTAGCATGTCAGTTTGTGTCCCCCATCTTTCTCCTGTTCCCTCTCTGTCCCGCATCTCTCCCAGTGCTCCTTCCACCCCCCCACCAGTGCTGTCTGCACCTCCTTCTCCTTCCCTCCTTCGGACTGCCCCCGAGGACACCCCTGCCGAAAAGCTTTCTAAAGCATTGGAGAGTGTCCTGCCTATGCACTCTGCCTTTCAGCGCAAGCACCGACGCTCCAGCCTGCCTTCCCTCTTTGTCAGTACTGTATGTAACATAAACTTCCTGACAAAACTTATTACCAGTGAATACATCCAGGCATCAAGAATTTTAATACAAATTAAGTAAAGAACAGGGCTAGACTTACTAATATATTATGCTTTTACGTTACCAGTTTTTCCTATGGTTTCCCATAACTTTTTGTTATGTAAGGTTTTAAGGGGGAGAAAAGCAAGGGGGTCATGAGAGAGAATGCTTCTAACACCCTTGGCATCTATCAGCGGGGAGCCATAAAATTGAGCTTTTGTTATATTCTCCTATCCCCCACCAACATATTCAGATCCTTGCATTTTCATATCTTAGCAAAGAATGTGTGTATTATTTAATTTTAAACTCGTTGGCTTAATCAAAAGCAAATTTTCTCTTTATCAGACATTACCCAAACATGTTTTCTCCTCACTTTATTCCAAAGAGAGACTAATGACAGTGGATGAGTCCATTTTTTTCCAATAGTGAGTGAAGAATAATTGAAGAGGGAAAGTTGCTTTTAATTTGTTAGCTGTTTAAAATGAGGTGTCAACAGACTAAAAGGCCCCACATAATGTTCCCTCTTGGAAATTTTTTTTCTTTGAATAAGGTGGGATCTTGACTCTAGTGGAATATATTAGATACACATATAGTACATGTGATTTTCTTTGGCCCCATTAATGTCTATGGAAGGTCTATCTTTCAGAGTTGTTTTAAACACTGTGGTACTTTGCTACTGCTTTTCCAGATAGAGAATTTAGTTAACATTCTGATCTAGCAACCCCCAAATCTTGAGATTTTTTACCTAGGAGAATGACTAATTGTATAGTGTTTTATGGCTTTGGGATGCTCCTTGAATAAACAACAGTAAAATGGAGCATATTCTGAGTGAAAACAGAAACCTCCTTTTAGCTGTTGTGAAGAAGTTAACGGTGGAGCCATTTTGCCTGTTTGATGGGGGGTCTTCCTTATGGAAAGAATGAAACTGATCTACCCTTTTAAAAAAAGAGTCTGTGAAAGTGAATTATTACAGTGTGTACTGTTTGCATTTGACAAGGTACGATTCTAACTTTAGAGTTTTTAATCTAGAACTGCCTCTGTGACAAAAAGTGCTGTTAAATCAAGTTGGCTCTTATTTAAATTATCCTTTTCACCTGTTTTGAACATCAAATTAGTCAACACAACTAGAATCAGAAAAGTGGACATTCCGTGATTTGGCATCTGTAACGTGTTTCATGGAGTAAAATTAACTGCATTTGGTTTGGGGCAGACAGGGGAAAGACATGACAGTCACTGGCCAAGTGGTGTATATTTTACTATACACCAAAAGTCTCTTCTGATTTCTAGTCAGAAGACATACTGTTAGTTGATCAGAAATGAACCCTTGGAGCCTCTAACACACCAGCAGACAATAAGGCTTCAGAGTAGGAAGACGTGGTACAGTTACAAGTGAACATACAAATTGTAGGTAAAAGCAGAATAATCACTTAGAAGGTTAAATTCTTCCATTTCCTTTGAGAGGGGAAAGTTGTGGAAAAGCAGCTCTTATCTAATGCAAAGAGTTCCACAGAATAATTTTATTGACCCTGGATGTATTTAATGGATTTTTACTACGCACATAATTTCCAAAAGCATTGTTATTTCTTTATTAATTATAAATTTGGTGTAACTGTTTCGTAGCATTACACAGAGTTACCCAATTGTGCATGTCAATGTAATTTCACATATGAATGTATGAATTACTTGTCTTATTCATGTTGATACAGCCTCAGTCCATGGCGCATCCGTGTGGGGGGACCCCAACATACCCAGAATCACAGATATTTTTCCCAACTATTCATGAACGTCCAGTTTCTTTTTCACCACCTCCCACCTGTCCACCGAAGGTGGCCATTTCCCAGCGGCGTAAGAGCACCTCCTTCCTGGAAGCCCAAACTCACCACTTCCAACCCCTGCTGAGGACTGTTGGCCAAAATCTTCTTCCACCTGGTGGCAGCCCAACTAACTGGACACCAGAGGCTGTAGTTATGTTGGGAACTGCAGCCAGTAGAGTCACTGGAGAGCCATGTGAGATACAGGTCCAACCTATGTTTGAACCAACTCAAGTTTACAGTGACTATAGACCTGGACTAGTACTTCCGGAAGAAGCTCACTACTTTATTCCTCAGGAAGCAGTGTATCTAGCTGGGGTACAATACCAGGCCCAGGTGGCAGAACAGTTTGAGGGCATTCCATACAACTCACCAGTCCTGTCAAGTCCTATGAGACAGACACCTGAACAGAAGCCAGGGCAAGGGGGCCCTACCTCAAGTTCTGTCTTTGAATTTCCATCCGGACAGGCTTTCGTGGTAGGACACCTCCAGAATTTAAGATTAGATTCTGGACTGAGCCCAGGATCTCCCCTCTCTAGCATTTCTGCACCTATCAGTACAGATGCTACAGGCTTGAAATTTCACCCTGTCTTTGTTCCTCATTCTGCACCTGCTGTGTTAACTCATAACAATGAGAGCAGAAGCAATTGTGTATTTGAGTTTCACGCTTGTACTCCGCGCTCCTCGTCAGGAGAAGGGGGAGGAGGAGTTTTGCCTCAGCGCATTTACCAAAATCGACAGGTTGCTGTGGACTTGAATCAGGAAGAACCACCTCCTCAATCCACAGGATTACACGGCCGCCTGCAGCCTGTGACTGAAGAACAGCATGATTTCCAGGCCCCAGAACTGACCGTCTCTGTGGTAGAGCCCACCGGACAGAGCTGGCCCATAGGAAGCCCAGAATATTCCAGTGATTCCTCACAAATCACTTCTTCAGACCCCAGTGATTTTCAATCACCTCCCCCTACAGGGGGAGCAGCTGCACCTTTTGGCTCTGACGTCTCATTACCCTTTATCCGTCTGCCTCAGACAGTGTCACAAGAATCCCCACTTTTCTTCTGTTTCCCCCAAGGAGCCACATCTCCGCAGGTTTTATCTGCCTCATTTTCTTCAGGAGGATCTGCACTCCAACCACAGGTTATAGGAAAACTTCCACGGTTCTTTTACACTACCCTACTGTGCACCATTACGTTTAAGTTTTCTATCCCTCCTTTCCATTCCTGAGGGATATTGTTTAATTTTATTATGGGGTTTCTCCATTGCGGGGGGTGATTTTAAACTACTTGTATTTAAGAGCAAAATATTTGACAGAAGCGGCCCGATTTACCTATAACATGTGTACACCCTTGGAAAAGAGAGCACAAAAACTAGAATTTTAGTTACTCATCAAAATCAGTTACTTCTGTCCATATGTAGAGTGGACAGTTTTCAGCTATTAGTGAACACATAAATGTCTGTAAAGTTGACTGAGCATTGATTATTTACAAATATTAATGTGAAGTATTTCTTTCTCCCTAGAAACAAACATGGCTAGTTTTTTAAAAAAATAGAGAAGATAACATTTCTTTTCCTGTAAAATGCAAAGAATGAAAAATAAGGAATCTTTTTTTTTAAGTAGTGTTAGGAATATACAGAGTTTTCATTAGTATGGAAGGATCTTAAAAGAGAGGAAACATCTTAGGAATTTGTCTTAACAAATGAGGATGCCTTTTAAAAATGGCATTAGTCAGGGCTTCCCTGGTGGCGCAGTGGTTGAGAGTCCGCCTGCCGATGCAGGGGACACGGGTTCGTGCCCCGGTCTGGGAAGATCCCACATGCCACGGAGCGGCTAGGCCTCACTGAGCCATGGCCGCTGAGCCTGCGCGTCCGGAGCCTGCGCTCCGCAACGGGAGAGGCCACAGCAGTGAGAGGCCCGCGTACCGCAAAAAAAAAAAAAAAGGCATTAGTCAAACAGGTCACTGTGTATTATATGTTCAAATAAAATGTTAATCCACAAAATTGACTGATTCTAATTTTTAGCAACTAAGTTAGAATCTAGTGTGGGTGATGGAGGTTTTTTTGTTTTGTTTTAGGGATTTGTGGTACATGTTGCAAGGTAAAGACCATTAGATACCTCAGTTCTTAGATTTTTCCTCAACAAATTTAGATTTTGTTGTTTATGAATATGAGCATATGCACACTCCTGCAAATAAAGGCAAAGTGATGGATGTAATAGCATTCAAGAAGTGGAGTCAGTATTGACTATTTCATATATAATTCCTGTGATACATTTTGTCAAATGTATAAGTCTTATAAAATTTGTGTAGGAGACTATGCAGTTAAATAGGAAACTTGGCAATTATATATTCAAGATATCATTTAGATGTTTTAAATATCACACTCTTTTATAAAGAACTATATGTTCTTCTTTGTACTTTCTTGCTATGTTCTTCCCCCATCAGGGGCATAAATAACCCCAAAAATATACATAAAGCATAAGTTACTTAGAGCAGTACTAAGAAGCAAAAAGATCTAGAAACTTGAAAATCTGTACTGTGTGTACATGCGGTATGGTACGCTCACATTAACACACTTGTTGCCAGCCCATACTGTGAACGTGTATGCACTGCCAGCCTTGCTCCTTTAAACTTTCCAAAATGAAATTTCAAACATCAGGTAGTTTACAGAAAAGGTGCAGAAAGAAACTATACTCACAGTGGTTAAGATGCAGTAGAATGATGTTCTATCCAAGTTAGCTTCAGAGAAGCCCCTCTAAACTGAAATGAAACAGCAAAGGTGGGCCTTTTCGTTTTCTTAGCTCCCCTATTATCAAGTCCTGCATTCATTTCTCACCTTCTAATTTATTTTAACTTAAGATCTCTTCTAGGTGAGGGTTTCTCAAATTCCAACCGTGTGGACATTTTAGGTGAGATGGCTCTTTGCTGTGAGGACTGCCCTGTGCATTTGTAGAGTGTTTAGCATCATCCCTGGCCTCCCCCCATCAAGTACCAGTAGCAGTTGTGACAACCAAAACTAGCCCCAGACACTGCCAGACATCTTTGGGAAGGGGCATGGGGTTCCCAAAGTGCCCCTGGTTGAGAGCCATTGCTCTAGGTACTTGGCAGGTAATGATGATAATTTTTTTTACGTTTTTGACAAAAGTCGCTATAGCACTACAAGAAATAGCAAAAGGAACCAAATAGCATTATTAAATACCCTTTTTTCTTTAATTGTTCGGATAGTTTTTTCACATTGATAGTCTTATTATTTTTCCTGATTATTTTCAATAACAATTTTATTTTGAATCTTACTATTTTGGCAAAAAATATAGCCTGAGCAGCGGGGTAGGTTAGGTTTTAACCATCAGTGGTTTTTGCATGGAATGAGAGTATGTTCTGTAATATGATCCTTCTCTAACCTTCTCTTTAAAAACATGCCCCAGCGGTCTCTCCCTACATACTTAATCAAGCGAATGTTTAATCTTGCTCAGGCAGACTCTCAGGAGCTCACATATTTATTGCAAAATCCTGACCTCTGTTTAAACGTACCTTTGGGCTGCTCTAATTTTTTGTATTCACTTCTCTCCTTCAGGCACAGGGGCAGAGCCAGGGTCAGCAGTCTTCAAGTAGTTTAACAGGGGTTTCATCCTCCCAACCCATACAACATTCTCAGCAGGTGAGAGCAACTCATTGCTACATTTTATGGATTAGCAATAGCCAAAACACTGTTTTACGTCTTTCATGAATTGGATTCCTGATGTAAATGGCTTGCTAAGTTTTTGAAAGGAAAATCTAGAGGCATAACATTTCCTGTCTTCAGGAACATTTTAGAAAATCTTTTGTTTAATGTATTTTTGAATGATCTATTAGATTAGACATACATTGAAATTCAAAAGAATTATCTTTACTGACATACTTTATGTGCCTTCTTAAACAAATGATTCTACACTATTTTAACAATACGGTTGACCCTTGAACAGCACAGGGGGTTAGGGGCACAGGCCTTCTGCACAGTCAGAAATCTGTGCATAACTTTATAGTGGGTCCTCCCTCTCTGAAGTTACACATCGACAGATTAAACCAGTCTTGGATCGCATAGTACTGAAGTATGTATTTACTGAAAAAAATTAACATATAAGTGAACCCACACCGTTCAAACCCGTGTTATTCGAGGATCAACTACAAAAAATGCCAGTTTTGTGTGTGTGTATTTCACGATTTGTCCTTTTGTGAGCATTTTACCATTGCTTTTACTGTGCTTGACTCTAGTAATGCTCCACTCCTTTTTAATTATTTCTAGTCTGTGGGGTGGGGCCTCAGATTTTATGCTAAAATGAACGAAAGCCTAAGAACAACTACTTCAGGAACTTTAAAAAAATGTTTTAAACTCTTCCGATTTGGGGGATTTGTTCCCAAGGGTTCAGAGAACTCAGGGGATTAGTATAGTGCTGATGTATTCAACAGCAAAACTGGTAATTGTAAAATTAAATATCTGTAGTGCATCACTGATATTAGTTAACAGTAGTTATTTACATGGAAATAATGCTTTGGGGGCACAATTGAATATTTATTATCTGTTTCAAATAAAATTTATAGCCACTACATGTGTCATAAAAACTTCCCAGTGAATTATTTTGTTGATAGTTCCCTATGCAGTGTGTTTTCAAACCACCAAATTCTAAATTGGCTTGTTTCTATCAATTTTTGAAACTAAGTTTTCAGTTCTCGTTACAAATGGCCTTCTCACAGTCCAGCATGTGATCATGTGGTCGTTTGATGCTGGTTTAAGATTAGATGTTCCTTGTACAAGACTAGCTTTTGGTTATACAGGCAAACCTCATTTTACTGTGCTTCGCTTTCTTGTGCTTCGTAGGTACTACATTTCTTTTTTATTTTTACAAATTGAAGATTTGTATTAACCCTGCTTCAAGCAAGTCTGTCAGCACCATTTTTCCAACAGCATTTGCTCATTTCATGTCTCTGTGTCACGTTTTGCTAATTCCCACTCCGATTTGGGGATTTGTTCCCAAGGGTTCAGAGAACTCAGGGGATTAGTATAGTGCTGATGTATTCAACAGCAAAACTGGTAATTGTAAAATTAAATATCTGTAGTGCATCACTGATATTAGTTAACAGTAGTTATTTACATGGAAATAATGCTTTGGGGGCACAATTGAATATTTATTATCTGTTTCAAATAAAATTTATAGCCACTACATGTGTCATAAAAACTTCCCAGTGAATTATTTTGTTGATAGTTCCCTATGCAGTGTGTTTTCAAACCACCAAATTCTAAATTGGCTTGTTTCTATCAATTTTTGAAACTAAGTTTTCAGTTCTCGTTACAAATGGCCTTCTCACAGTCCAGCATGTGATCATGTGGTCGTTTGATGCTGGTTTAAGATTAGATGTTCCTTGTACAAGACTAGCTTTTGGTTATACAGGCAAACCTCATTTTACTGTGCTTCGCTTTCTTGTGCTTCGTAGGTACTACATTTCTTTTTTATTTTTACAAATTGAAGATTTGTATTAACCCTGCTTCAAGCAAGTCTGTCAGCACCATTTTTCCAACAGCATTTGCTCATTTCATGTCTCTGTGTCACGTTTTGCTAATTCCCACACTTATTTCAAACATCTTCATTACTATTATATTTGTTATGGTGATCTGTGATCACTGATCTTTGATGTTACTATTGCAAAAGGATTATGACTTGCTGAAGGCTCAGATGATGGTTAGCATCTATTAATAAAGCATTTTTTAAATTAAGGTACGCACATTGTCTTTTTAGTCATGATGCTGTTTCACACTTAATAGACTACAGTGAGGTATATGCACTAGGAAACAAAAAAATTCATGTGACTTGGATTATTGCAATATTCACTTTATTGCAGTGATCTGAACCAAACCTGTAATATTTCCAAGATGCCTGTATATACATTTTCTCTGTGGCCAACACCTCTATCTTGTAGAATAGAAGGGCTGGGAATTAAACGTTTTGTCTTGCTCCTGCCCTTTCTTCCAGACAAGTATCTGAATCTGTATATATTTATAGTTACGTTCAAGTAGTCACATTTTTGCCAACCTTAACAGGTTTAATTATATTAACAACCTCTGATAAGAATACAAATTAAAAGTTACATAAAGCTGAGTGAGGACAGAAACGCTATCATGGATACCAGTCTCCTAATTTGCTTATCATTGGACACAGGCCAATACCAATAAAATGTGCAGATTGAAGTGTATGCTCTGTTTTTCCTTTTCCAAAGGAATTTGTTATGAAGCAGTGAAATAAGCCATTGAGTTTAATGGTGACGAAAGTATGCACAGTCGGGGGGCGGGGGGCAGCTCCACAAATGTCAGGTTAAAAGAATCAGGTGCTTGACTCTTCTGGGAAAAGATCTGACTAAATGGCTATCTCTACAGTACAAACAAAAATTCCCATTTCAGTGATGCTTTTTTCAGATACTTTTATTTTGTGAGTTATTTTAAATATAGGATGAGTTAAGTAGAATCATAAAATTGAGCCCTCAATCTAAATAAGTGTATGCAGTCTAGAATATTTAACTTTTCCAGGGTTGCATAGCCAATAGATAGATAGAACTAAACATTACAAACCATAATCCAAGATTTCTACAGTAGTTTTCTTTTTTCTTCATTAAAGTTCTACAGGGTTTCATGATTCTGCAAAGGTGCCCAAGAAGCTGTATTTGTTTGTTTTATCTTCTGGGGTTCCATATATAGAAAAGAAAGATTGTAAACTTTCTGTACTGTACAGTTAGAGTCTGTTTTTAGATCTGATTTTCGTTTTGCATACCGTCACGTCCCAACACCACCTTAGGAAACAATCTCTCTAATTTTACTAGTGTGAGGAAAGAGATGAACTTTAGCTGAAATTTACTTTATTTCTTGTGTTTCTGAAATATACTGAATAAAGGATTGCTTCTTTTCACGTTTTTATCAAGAATCTCTTCTAGTGGTATATCGTGTCTTAATGAGGTACCAGAAATAACTTTCTCCTACTGGAAATCTGAGTATTTTGCTGCCACGAAAGGTCATGAGCTACCCTGCTTCCTTAATAATTTCATCCATAGGGCACATGTAGAGTCTGTAGGTATCTCTTACTTTTTGTTCAACTAAGGCTCATGAACATTTTTTTCAAGCACCGTTGTCCAACAGATAGTACACGGTCAGTACAGGCTGTTTTCAAGAGGCAATTTTATGCAAAGCATGATGCCAAGTTGCTATGCTAAACAGTACTTGTTTGGCTAAAGTGTTGATTATTAGCCAGTGTGATTGTGCCAAAAAAAAAAAAACCACACCATATACTCCTGTCCTATCCAGAGGTGCCACTTCTCTATAAATGCTTTAATGTATAACTGGCATACATGCCTCTCAATTATTCTAAGCAAGGAGTGAGGGTATATGTTTATAAAACTGCTCATTTTTGACAGTACACACACACACACACACACACACAGGCACACACAACTAATTAAACAGTTTTTTCCTAACTGAGTTCATGCTCTGAAGGACCATGTGCTAGGCACTGATGGACTACCAAGATGGATCATATAAGGCTACTTTCAGGGAGCCTGAATAATCTGGTAACCATATACGTCAACTCCTACAAAACGAGTAAGGATAATAGCTAACGTTATATACAGTGTGCAAAGCAATCTACCTCTGTTTTTATTTAATCCTTCTATGAATCATATAAATATAGGTACTATCATTATTTCCATTGTACAGATGGGAAAGCTGAAACGAGATCTGGAGAAGCTAAGTACTTTCCCCAAACTTCTAAAAGATAGAAAGAATTTAACTCCAAGTAGTCTGACTCCATGAAAGGAGGAGACTATATCTCTTTTGAGCAGGGAGGGGGATATCAGTAGGTTTATGAAAGAGCATTTGAACTGGACTCTGATTATGAGTTAGATTCAGATGAAGGATAAGGAATATCCTAGGCCCAAAGAAAAGGGCAGGGGGGCAGTATAAGCAAGGTAGAAGGCACAAAGGTAGAAAGCCGTGAGACAGAAACAAATAAACCTTGGGTTCAGTGTAGCTAGAATACAGATAAGTCAGGACTTACGGTTAGGACTCCATGCTCCCAATGCAGGGGGCACTAGTTTGGTCCCTGGTCAGGGAACTAAGATCCCACATGCCACGTGGCACGGCCTAAAACAAAAAACAAATAAGTGAAGATGTGAGTTCAGGAAAGAGCTGATTGAGTCCACATTGTGATGTAAGCAAGGGTCTGCGTTGAAGGGGGTGCGGGAGAGAGGTAACTGTGCGCCCAAATATAAGGGGGGGTTTGCTCAGATTGAACCCTTATGAAGAAGGGGGATCACCACATAGTCAAACTTTCATCAGGCTCACATCACGGGGCTCTTACTGGTCTTTGCTTTGAACAATAACACAAAAAAATATTAATGGAATAAAGTGAAACTGTTGAGAACAAGTGTGCCTGTAAGGACCTTAAATGGTGTATGTAGTTGGAAATGTTTATAGGCAATATCTGACAGAATTGGTTTTATATATGCTAAGACATTAAACATAGATTTTGTCCTTAGGGGAACAACTTCACTGTTCCAGGCTCGTTGTAAAAAACATTTAAAGATCACTTAAAGGTTACATGAATATACACCTGTAAGACAATTGCAAAAACAATAGAACTGTCCTAATACTAATAATCAAGCAGATGCTTGTCACTGCAGATTTACCTCAAGCCACAACTTAAAAAGTACTATGTTATGCGCCAGAAAAGCGAGATCATTCATAGTGTAGCTTCCCTGAAGATAAAAATGCTGATGTATAATTACATGTGAAGAATTTGAATGAGGCAAGGGGAGCAACATTTCTGAATTAGTATATTTATATAAAAGACAGTCTTATTTAGGTATGAAAATTAATGACTTAGATAACTGTAGATAGTTCACGGTGAATTCCTTAAAGTTTAAATATATTCAAGTTAACCAAAAAGGTTTTCTACTTTCTTGGTTCTTCTTTCTTAGTGGGAAAATGGGCAAAATTGTCTTCTATTCAGAGCTGCTTTATAGTTGGATACATATGATATATCTTAGTTGCTGAAAATAAATTTTATATAATTCAGCCATTTCCTAATTTTTTTTAAGTTAAGAATACATTATCAGAGCTAAATAAGGATAAAACAAACATGACTACTGTCACTATTACATTTCAGGATTCTTTTGATGGTTTTAATTGGTATAATAAGAAAGAAATGAGGAATAAATATCAGGAAAGTAAAAATATTATTTGCAGATTATCACCTAACAAAATCTAGGATGCTTGTTAAGGTGGGTAGATGCATAACAGACATAAAAACAAAAATAAATAAGTCTTGGGGATGCAATGTACAGCATAGTGACTGTAGTTGATAATACTGTATTATATGTTTGAAGGCTGCTAAGGCTGCTAAAGGCTATCATTGGTTGTAGCATTATTTTAAGTAACAAAAAATTCAATCAACCAAAGTTTTCATCATTAGGATATCAGTGCCATTGATAAATAAAATGAAAATGGCATGTCAGAGAACAGTATTTATAAAACGGGTGTGTTTTTGTTTTGTTTTTAAAAACAAAATCAACTTGTGTGTAAATGACCACTTATGCATAGAAGGAAATCTATAAAGTCGATGCACCAAACCACTAATTGTGATTGCCTGTGGAGAAATGAGGTTGGGTATTTTCGTTTAACTCTATTAATCTAATATATTGCTTAAAATTTTTATTACAAACAGGTGTTGTTTTTGTATTTAAAAATTAAAAATTTGGGCCTCCCTGGTGGCACAGTGGTTGGGAGTCCACCTGCCAATGCAGGGGACATGGGTTCATGCCCCGGTCCGGGAAGATCCCACATACCTCGGAGTGGCTGGGCCCGTGAGCCATGGCCGCTGAGCCTGCGCGTCCGGAGCCTGTGCTCCGCAATGGGAGAGGCCACAACAGTGAGAGACCCGCATACCGCAAAAAAAAAAATTAAAAAATTTAAATTAGTTATAGGTATTAAAGAGTCTTGAAAGTCAGCTATGAAGTTCAGATTTTTGTTAGGCTAGAGGGGGCCTTTAATTTTATTGCAAAATTTAGTGTTTGGGTACAATTACATGCCATTCGTCAAGTTTAGGTGTATTATACCAGAGTGCCTAGCACACGCTTGATTTCCAGATGACATTCCCTTTGCCGTACGTTGAGTTGAGTGATAGTGTCCTTGTTTTCAAAGAAGGAAACCTCATTTTGGCAGTAAAATGAGCAATCTCTAAGGTATCACAGCTAGTAAATGGTAAAGCTGAAGTTCAAAATTCAGTGCTTTTCTCCCATTTTGTAGCCATTATCAAAGCTATTCTTTAAGCAGATTAACTACACAGTTGATGAAATATTGATAGATGAAGGGA